GACCGGTCTGTAGTTACCAGGGTCCTCTTTCCTTGCCCTTTTTGAAGATTGAGCCCTTTGAGTCACTTCTGAGGTAATGGAATTGCACAGGTTTCTATGAGGGCTTAGTTGTCCTTGCAAACCTTAGTTACAGTGAAAACTCAACAAAGAAGAAGGAGCATCACACAATTGTCTGGGTGCAGTTTTTAGCTCTGCTTGATGCAGACTGACTTTCTTATGGATTAAGAGTTGTGCTGGGTCATTTTTAGAAACAAGGTTTTGTAACTACTGATCACACCTGGGTGACACTTATATAAAGAACCATATATAAAGAACCATAAATTGGCATCTGATGAATGACAGCAGTGAAGTTTGAAAGTGGATGTACATACAGCCACCTAATGAAATTAATTCACATTGCTCCAAAATGCTTAAACTGCATCATGTCAATTAAGGATGTTGCAGCCTGCCCTTGCTATAGCAGTGAAACATGGGAACAATGGCTCTGTGTCCTTCCTGTGACTGATACTTGCCCTGCTTTTCGGTCTGTTTAGCTTTCCTTACTGTTCCTTTCAGTCTTGAAGTCTGGATTGTGTTTCATTTGTGGCCTGAATTATCAGTGGAAGTGGCATTTGGCTTTTTTCTCTGCAGACATCTTAAGTCTTTTACGGTTATCCCCTCAATTTGCTGCTAGTTCATGGTCTCTCAAGGACTCCTTCATATTTGAGACTGTGCAAGTACTTCAGGGCATGCTTGAAGTGCTATTTGTTTAATTTATCCATGTTCTGACAGTTCTTTGAACTCCATTCTTTGTCTCCTGCTTAATGTTTCTGAGTGGTTTAGAGTTCATCCTTCTAGAAGTGAAGAATGTTTGAGACTCTTTACCACATAGTTACTGTTACAGTTCGGCTGTCAGGGTTATTTGCTCATTTGTGTTATCCTTTGAGAGCAAATGTTACACATTCAGTGATTTCAAATCATTTTAATATCACTTGAGAGAATCAGGGCAAGGGGTATAATCCCAGCTGTGGAATTAGCAGGTATAATTCCAACTCTGACAAGACTGATGGTAACTGTGGTTACGTGTAAGTGACCTGATTGTCTGGACATTTCTATGTGAAGCTGGTACATTATCATGAAGAATGTTGAAGTAAATGACTCCTACAAATAAATATTGTTATTCAATCGACCCACAAAGAACTTTCTTTCCAGGCAATGGAGGACTCTTCATGTGCTGCACCAGGTAGAGTACACAGTCATGTGACTCATTTCCTTGTAATGGTCTTGAAGTTACTGAGAAACTTCTGAGACTTGCAAACTCTTTCTTCTGCTCCATCCTCTTTAATTATGAAGAGCAGGTGTTTAGCTGAGTGTTTCTGCAGTGCATCCTGGCACTAGGGCAGATTTTACTGTTCTTCATTACTTTAGCTTTTAACTTCGAAAACGAATTTGAAAATGTTTTGATACATGCCTTTTCTTCTGTTGTTCTTTCATAGAATGACCTTCTGAAGGAAGAACAGCAGGCACACATCCGGCGTATACTAGGTCAAATAGAAAAAGAGGAGAAAGAACGAGATGAAAAGGAGATTGTAACTAGGGAAGATGTGGAAGAGTCACTGAGAGCAATATGGCAATATGTTAGGGACAAAGAACAGCTTCTGAAAGGTGTGTTGTGAGTTGTGGCAGTGTGGTTTGCAGATTACGTTGTTAGGATTGAGTACTTTTTTTTTTTTCTTTTTAATTTTAAATAGAAATTCAACTTCCTTGTTGCATAAAAAGCATAAAGCTTTTTCTCCCCAGAGTTAAGCTCTCTAAATGTTTTTTTTCTCCCCAAAGTTAAGCTCTCTAAATGTTCGGTATGATATTGTGGAGAGCTTATAAGTAAATTAAGTTGAGTTAAAATTTAAAACAAATAGGTCTTTTGTAGAAACAGACCCCATATATTAGACTCTGTTTTGGTCCTTCCAAGTGATGTATATTACTGTGTAAGTACAGAGGCTTCGTATTTTCCATAAAGTTGAAACTCGTGAAGGCCAATGCACGGGCTCCACTGGAAGATTATTGATGAAGCAAAAATGAGCAGTTTTGATTGTTGAAAGTTCTGGCTGCCGCCCCTGCAATTCTCAGTGAGAGTGAAGTCACGTGTGTCTTTAGCCACAATATTTCAGTGAGAACTGTTGTCTCTCCTTGGCAGAAGAATTTCAAGCTGTTTTCAGCAGTGACAGTGGCCCTTGACACTGTGTGAGGCCATCATATTCTAATGTATCATACTGCTGAGGAAGCCAGTGAAAGTGGATTTCCAATCCCAGTGAAAGTGCCTTTATTAAATAATTTGATGAAGTCGTTAGAATTATGAACTATCAGCTCAAGAAATTGGTGATGAACTTGTCTTCTTACATTCTTACTTTAATAGATCTGCACTCCCAGATTGAAGAAACTGGCCAAAGACTTTCAGTAAAGCAGAGTGAGAGGGATTATTGGTTGGAGTACAAAAATGTAGGAAGTAAAATACAGGCCAGCAAGATTATGAATCTGGAAAAAGACATCCAGGAAGTCAAAGATGACCTTCAGAGGGCTGCAGGTCAGTGTACAGCTAGTGTAATGCAAGTCTTACAAGCTCTTTCTCTATCACTTTTGGGATTTAATTAAATTATTAATTTAGTTTGATGTCAGGTTATAGTAACTTGTATCAACTTTTGCAAGACAGTGCACCTAAACTAGACTGCTTAACCCTATAAAATGGAAAAAACTCTCTATCTTCATAAAAGTCCCTTTTTAAAGAATGTTATGAAGATGCAGAAATTATGAACACTTAAAGAAATTGATAAACTTGTCTTGTGATGATTTTCTTGGAAAATGTAGGCAATCCACATTTTAAAAATGTTACTGTGAAGGACAATGGTTTCCTAAATACAAGTCTACATGTATTTAGGTCCCCTACACACAGGTCTCCCTTAGCAGTCATACTTGAAAATGTTGCCTCCACTCTTGTTGCTTCTCATCATGCTACAAGCGCTTTACATGTTGAAAAGTCCTTTGACAGGAAAGTAGTATGAGCTCATTTTTGGAAGAGTGTTTTGGACTGAGCATGTTGGTTTAAATGCAGAACTAGAGGGAGCTGTTTAGCCAGTGGTCTGAACTTTGCATAGTCTCCTCTACCAGGCCCTGCAAAATCACCAGTACAGACATACACAAATACTGGGAACTGTTTCAATACTGACACAACAGTGGAATTAATTTGAGAGCTTATGTATTCTGGTGCTGAGTGCTTTACAAATATTTCTTTACTACTGCATTATTCCAATATCATTTAAATATTTTGCTGCTACATAACCCATGCTTCTAAGGGGAGAAGGATGTCCTGGTTTTCTTCCTTTATGTCCCTCTCAGTATGCATGACCGCAGCCAAGCAGCTGGTAGTAACAGGCAGTGACACTGCTCTAAGGGTCTCTGTATATTCTGTGCCAACCATTAACAGGCATCAACTACTGTGGATAAGAGCCAGCTAGCTATCTTTTTCTCTCTTGAAACATATTTCATCATGATTTAAGATCTGCACCGTGTTTTCTACATTACCAGATAGCTTGTCAGATATCCATCTCTGTATTCAGTAGAAGTGGATATTTTTCATTATGCATTTTCTGCATTCTTAATCAATTTAAAGATTTGTTAAACAGCTGCTGAAATATGAAATGAAGAAGAGAATGGGCTTTTATATAGAATGCCAGAATGAGCCAGTAGGAACATTCAGTCTGACCTCCCACATGTCACAGCCAAGAATTTGTGAACGGAAGTGTATTTATAGAAAGACAGTTACAGAGGTATATATAGCAGTTGCCTAATTAACATACTGCAAAATGATGCTCCCAATACTCCATGTTAGCACACTATTGTAGTAAACTTCCTAAAATCAAACTTATAAAGTGGCTGGAGAGTACAGTCTTCTGGCCTACAAAAAAAAAATTAGTCTGACAAGCTTCCAGAGCGAAGCAGCAGCAAACTGGGCTTGTTCACTCCTTGACCGTGTAACAGGCTTAGGGGATAAGCATAGGTGAAGAGGTTTCTGTCTCTGTAGGTACCACTGAAGGGCTTGATGCTGGCACAGATCATGTGGTCTGGAGATGACATTTTAAACAAAATTGCTGGAGGAGAGAGGGAGCAAAAGAGAGACATAGACTGATGTGAGGTCTGGGGAAAACAGTGCTGCAGTGAGAGAGTTAGGGAAAATAGCCTCCTCAGAAACAGTAAGGATGTGTGAACAGTTCCTCCTTTTCTTCCTTCTCCCAGCACAGCTCAGGTTGGTTAGCTGTCTGAATTCATCTTTCATTCTACAGTTCCTCCTTTTCTTCCTTCTCCCAGCACGGCTCAGGTTGGTTAGCTGTCTGAAAGAATGAAAAGATGAATTAATTATAGTATGTAAGGCTGGGTGGATGAGGGGAGAGCAGTGGATGTTGTCTGCCTTGACTTCAGCAAGGCTTTTGACACTGTCTCCTATAGCATCCTCATAGGTAAGCTTTGGAAATGTGGATTGGATGAGGGGACAGTGAGGTGGGTGAAGACACCAGAAGGCTGTGCTGCCATTCAGTGAGATCTGGACAGGCTGGAGAGTTGGGTGGAGAGGAACCTGATGAAGTTCAATAAGGGCAAGTGTAGGGTCCTGCACCTGGGGAGGAATAACCCCAGGCACAGGTTGACCTGTACTGGAAAGCAGCCCTGCAGAGAAGGACCTGGGAGTACTGGTGGATGACCAGTTGACCATGAGCCAGCAGTGTGCCCTTGTTGCCAAGAAGGCCAATGGCATCCTGGGGTGCATTAAGAAGAGTGTGACCAGCAGGTCGAGTCTCCCCCTCTACTCTGCCCTGGTGAGGCCACATTTGGAGTACTGCGTCCAGTTCTGGGCTCCCCAGTTCAAGAGGGACAGGGATCTTCTGGAGAGAGTCCAGTGGAGGCCACAAAGATGATGAGGGGCCT